CTAATCTATTTCTTGATGCATTGTGTCCACTCTAATGTGTTAACAATTCAAATCAGTGAATGCCTGAATACTTCTTAAACACTTCCAGTTGTTGGTAGAATTCTGTAGTACAGTAAATAAAGATTGTATACAGAAATAGTTGATCTCTAATAGAGTAGTCTTTTCTATTGAATTTCTGTACTGCAGCAAATGCAAGAGAGAACTCTGTATGCAGCAGCCAGGCATGGAAGCAATTTAACATTCAGTCTTTCTTCACTCTCTGTTTTTTGAGGGCCTGGACCTGGTGAGTTGTCTTTAGTCTGACTTGAAACCTTAAAATACAGCTGTGATCTGAGTTTCTGTTTAACCTGTACACACACAGAATAGGTATAAACAGGCTCTCTTTCAAGCAAGAGTTACATTTTTGCCTTCAGAGTAGCCTTAGGGGCACTCTCCTTCTCAGTGCATGGCAACATAGGAGGTTGCTTTCACCAGTTTTCATCTCTTCTTTTCTGCCCAGATCAGACATGACCACACTTTCATGATCACAGCTGGACAGTCCAGTGACAACCAAGCAGGTTTAGTTCACTGGTCATCTGGTACCCTTTTCATAGTCTCTTTGATTCTAAGTCCATCTTCATGGATTTGGCAGCAGGCTCCTCAGAACCCATTTTCTGGTAATGCAATATCCCACCCACTCACCCTCACACTGGGAGTGCTGCTTATTGTGTGTGGCTGGAACGATTGTTCCAGAGTTGTTTGATTTTCTCTGACTTCAGACTCCCATCAATTTGGGATGAAAACTCTTGACCTCTGCTGTTCACTACAGAGGATCAAGAGACAGCTGAACTTTTCCATGACTATTTGAGCTGTCTGTGGCTTTAGGGCTTTGTAGTAAAGCCTAAGGGAAATTTGAAAAGCAGGCTCACTCTTGATAAGCAGCTGCTCAACTTGAACAGCTTTGAACAGTCCAGCTGCAGAGATTCTAGCAGTGAGATGTACTCTTTGCATCACCTGTGGGATTGATACCATACCTGGACTTCCTGCCAAAAACCTGGGCTTCTTGAGAGCCTGTGTACATTGATTGTGCTGCACACTCTGTTTCCTGTCATTTGGCTGAGCTGATTTGCCATCAAGTTGCTGTCAAGAGATCCTTTACACTTGTGCAGCCATTAGGGGTGTAAGTTAAAGTAGTGGATGAGAATCCCCCTGTATTTAGTACAGAGGGAAGTCAGTGTTCTGGACACTATTCCTTTAGCCATCAGATAACAGCTAAGAGGTTTGCTGTCCCTTGGACAGACTTCACAGGAGTTACCCAGTGATATCAGGCTCTGTTTCCAGGGAAGAACAAGCCCAGTGTCTGTGGCAGTGTGTTGTACCTCTCTTTCTGCACTTCAAGGCATCATAACCAAAATGCTTGTGGAAACACTCTCTTGTTCTCCAGACACATTCCCCTTGTGATCCCATAAACTCGAGTTCTCACAAACATCCACATGCCTGCTATCTGGGGTGTTTGTACATGTGTCTGTTTGAGGCATCTGAGGCTGATAGAGGGTAGGGCAGGTGTGTGTATCTGAGGTTTCTGCAAGACTCACTCATCTGTAAGCCTGTAGAACACATGATCTGGTGAGCTTAAGGGTCTTTCCTGACCTAAATGGTTCCATAATTCTATCCCTTGACACCCACTGTGAGAGCATTCCAATGACCATCTTTTCAAGACAGATTAGTTGCGTAGCACTGATTGAAATTCTCCAGGAAATGCAGAATGTTAATTTCCTCTCCTTTCAGCATTTTCTGAAGTTTCTGAAGTTCCTTTTCACTGAGACTGGCAGAAAGCAATGCCACAGAGACAGAGGCGCTGCCTCCCCAGCTCCTGCAGTAATCCTGGGGAAAGCCGCCCCACAGTCATACCACCTGAAGGCAAAAATGTCACAAGCAGCTGGATTTGTAGACGTTATAATGTATCCAGACATGGTCAAAGTATCCAACCTGGAGGACTTCTGTTGCTGCTTTAGCTGCTAGTAACTTGTTTTGTATTTAAAAAGATGAAACAGTATTCAGCCAAGGACATTAGAATTTACTGGGCGCACCAATCCTTCTCACAGCAGGACACGGGAAACCTCCTGTTGATTCCACACAGTTCTAGCATAAAAGCTTAAGTGTTTTCCCCAAGTGTAGAAATCATTCATCTTGTTTTAAAGTCTGCCATTTGTGCTATAATTGTAGTATCTAGTACAATTTAATATGTCCAACCACTTTGTGAATTTATTTAGTATCTTTTAACTCCCAACAGCAAAACTAGATGCGCCCCCTAAGCCTAAAAGAGCTCCTAAGGCCAAGAAGGTGGAAACTGTGAACTCTGATTCAGATTCAGAATTCGGCATTCCAAAGAAGACGGCAGCACCCAAAGGTAGGAGTCACACCTGGGCTCACAATTACTGTAAGAGCCAAGCTGAATTATGAGTACACTGATCACTGATAGATCACTCAGCCTTTCCTGTGACAAATACAGTGTATTGACTTCTTGGCAAACAATGTGTGGACTTCTTATCTGACCTTCACTGTTGGGAATGCATTTAACTGCTGCACCCCCCACACAGCCTCTTCCATTCTACTGGATACTATTCTTTTTTATTATTATTATTATTTTTTTATCTCTTTCCAAGCCAGGAAATCTTTGGTAGTAATTGTAACTGGCACTTTCTGGGTTTTTAAGCCCATTTTTTGGTATCTCAGTTCTCTGAGTCCTCACAACACAGCACAGCAAGAAGTGTCATTGGAGGAGTCTGTAAAGGATGTGCCAGTGTTGATGGTTGAGGTTAAAAGTAAATTTATTAAATAGTAATGGTGAATTAATGCTGTCATTCAGTGCAGAAGGTGACCAAGGACTTGCAGTTCTTCAGCAGTGTAGAAGTTTTTTGATCTCATGATGTTTGCCCCCGTCTTGAACTGACAGCTTGAGCTGTCAGGTGAATGCTGATTGTGGAAGAAGTAGAAAATATTTAAAACTGAGAAAATAAAAAATACTGTATTATCCTGCTGTTGTGAAGAAGCTTGAGTACTAAACTGGGTTTGAACTTAACACACAGACATGCTAAAGTAACTTCACTAGGGGGTTTTTCAGTTTGACAAAGTCTGGAGTTTATTTAAAAAAAAACCAAAAACCCCAAAGTTAACTCATAATCTCTGACCTAGGAAAAGGCAGAGGGGCAAAGAAAAGGAAAGCATCTGGTTCAGAAAATGAAGGTGAATACAACCCTGGGAAGAAAACACCCAAGTCCACACCAAGCAAGGTCAGTTCCATCTATGCTCTCTTCTCGTAAAAAGAACTTCATGGATTACTTAAAGTTAAGTTCTTATAAGAAGTTGCTAATATGGCAGTGGGGGCTGAGGTGTCATTAGCAATCAGATGCTAGAGAGGGGGTTTTTTTTCACTTCTGAATATTAAAATGGAAAATGTACAAAGCATCACAAATGATTTGTCTTTTCTTTTCTAAAGAAATCCAAGAAGGCAGCTTTTGACCAGGATTCTGATGTGGAAATCTTCCAGTCAGGCTTTGCCTCCGAAACTGCCCCAAAGCCGCGGACAGGCCGGGCTAGAAAAGAAGTGAAATATTTTGCAGAGTCTGATGAAGATGATGATTTTGATATGTTTAATTAAGTGCCCAAAGAGCACAAAAATGTTTTCCAACAAGTATCTTGTGTTGTCCTTTTGTCCCCTCTGTCGCAAACTTTTGTACATTTGACTTATTTTATGTGATAATGTAATTGATGGTTTTTATTATTGTGTGTAGGCATTTTAACATTTTGTTCTTACACCTACAGTTTTATGCTCTTTTTTACTCATTGAAATGTCATGTATTTGTCTGGCTTGTAGAGATGTTCTAGACAGCTGTGCTAAAGCACATTTTAATTGTCATGGTTGCAAACAGCAAACCTGCTTTTTGAAATGAAGTTTAAACATTAAAAAATGGAAAACTACCATGTGTGTATGTGTGTGTGTGTGTAAAATGTGGGCTAGAGGGACTACTTCTACGCAATTTTTAAAATAAATATATTTTATTCTTTGCCAGGAGACTCCATGGAAAAAGGTAAACAGTATATGAACATAGAAAGCATTGTTAAACAATCTCAATGTACAAACAGAGCCAGTGAAAGTACATCACAGACTTGCTAGAATATATAAAAAAAAAAAAAAAATTCCACTAGTGCTTTAAATGAAACCTAAGAAACTGACACTTTAAATCTGTTAACCATTCTACCACAGTTTTCACTCTGCTTCATGGTGATTTTAACAAGGCCAAGAAGGCAGATTCTCTCCTTGTGTTTCTGGAAGTCCTAGCTGTACTTCCCTAGCACGTGGAAGGCTGGAATGCCCAGCTGATTCCTGGCAGTTGATTCTTAAGGAAATACCCTGGACTCAGCGATTCAAAAGCTGTGAGTCTGCTGGTTCTCATCCCATGAAGTTTCCCTAATGGCTTGTGAACAAGTAAACAAAAACATGGTAACACTGAAAAGTGTTTCTGCCTTGGCGGCTATAGCATTGCTGTCGAAATGAGCAGGTAATTGTGGAGCTAGGTCACCAGCCAGCTAAGAAACCACTTCTTTAAACTTTAAAGTGACATTAACAGTGGAACAAATGACATCTGAATAACTGATCTGGCAGTTAATGCTGATACTGATACCTCTTCTGCTGGGGCAGTGACGTTTTGTATACTTTTTACAAGGAAGGAGATGCAAACTGAGGGCAGCAAGGACAAGTTTTCATATTTCAACTAAATCAGACGGTCCTTTCAACTTCCTTCTCTGGATGTGTACAGTAGTCCATGTCCTGTGGTTGGTGTCTTGATTGTTTTAGGTATGAGAGACAAAAGGAAAGCACCAAACATCCAGTATGAAGAGTACAGCCATACATTTGTATGTACAAAGTCATCAGAAATGCAACCAGAATTTGAAGACTGAGATCTGTCTTGTCACCATGCAATATTGAGTGTTCAGAGAAGAAAACAGAAGCTTAAATATTTTTTTTTTTTTTGCATGAAATGGCTGATTTAGAGTTTCAAAAGTTTGCATTTTCTAGTTTTAGGAGTTTAACAGCAAGGAGTATATATTGATACATATGAAAATTTCTTGGTCCTTGTTGAGTTTATCTATATATATATATATACATATATAGATATATATTAAGTCCAGAAACTAAGCAGCAGTAAAAATGTTTTTCTTGCTTTTCATCCCTGTACATAAGGTATTAGGAATGTCTGAAGTAGCTGGAAAATGTCTTATTCCACCATAGGGGATTGACTGACACTGCTGTTATCCACTGAACTAGGTGAGATACTGGGACTGTGTTCTGCAGTATTTCCATTTGAGGTTGGTGTCAGTGGTTCATGTCCTTCAGAGTTCTCCAACATTTCCTGAATAAGAGGTGGCATGGATCCAGGAATTTCCATTTTCAATGTAATGACACGTTCCGCACCTTTAAGAAGAAAACACAAAATCCTTTCCATGAGCATGATTTGTACAATTTCTGTTAGCATTACAGAAGTAATTTCAGCATTTTGTTAATAGATTTGGTGTCTCCTTCAATACTTGCACACAAACATGTGAAGAGTGAACTGCTTCATGCAGTTCAAGGAGGACTTAGGTGAGTGCTCCTTAGCAAATTAATTCAAACCTACTAGCAACTGTTATTTCAACACAGGTAAATTGGAGGAGCTGCCTATTTTCAAAGAAGAACCCAAAATGACATTAAATTATACTGAAAAATTAAGTTAGGCTGTGATCATGTAGATGTCTTTATAAACTGCAATAGCATTCGGTCTTTATGCTGTACTGGATCTGCAAAGAATGACAAAAATTCCGTCTATATTACATAGGTGAGGTGAATCCTGCAAGAGAACTGCAGTGATCTAAGTCAAAATGTTTTCTTACCATAGAGAAAACTCTGAAATAAGATGCAGAATTTAAAACACAATTACTTTATAAAAGAACACAGGCAAAAGGGTACTTTTTTGCGGGGGCGGGGGGGAAGCTGCCTTCTGTCTTTTTCAGGCATCTTGTCCTGTGCTAAAGAACCATGAAAGTGGGCAGGAGCCCCGAGCACTGCTCAGCTCTGCCTTGGTGGAGGCTGAGTTGGGCTTGTCACGAGTGCCAGGCATTTGTATGCAGAGGGGGCTCTGCAGGTGAGTGCATGCAGGATTTAACAAAATTACTGCATCAATCCTGACCACTCAGACCGGGAGCCAACAACAACTGCTTCAGGGAGGGAAAAAAGCCCAACACAAAGTCTCAGTGTGTGGTCAGCAGGCAGGGACACGGCACGGACACAGCAGCCAAGGCCCTGCTGGACACCGGGCAGGCAGCGCTGAGGGAACTGTGCATCAAGCAATTTATAGCCATAAACTTCAGTGTTCCTGTTGCTCAGGATTCCTGATCACCTTAAAATTGGAGTCCAATGGAAGAGAAACCTGTGTTTCTTAAACAGCAAGAAGAGCAAAAAAACAAAAACCCAAAAAAACCCCCACAAAATTATTTACAAAGAAAATAGTTTGGTTATTGAGGAACCATTCCATAAGAGTGATCTGTAGGAAATACTCTGCTTATCCGTGCTGCTGCAGAGGACATGCTGGAGAGATCACTACTCACTCCAGGCTGGAAGGGAGCATTTAGGTGTTCATGTCTTACATGAGGAGCACCAAAAAATTCATCTACAAAGGCAATGATTAACTTTCCAAGTGAATGCTGATTTAAAAGTCTCTTAAATTACTGTAATGGGAAAGATATTAATGCAGAATGATGCTGAGAGCTTCTCTGAAAACCAACTATTGTCAGAGCTGTGCTGATGAACTCAATTTGGCCATGTTAAACACCTGCTTTCCACTATTATATCTGCTTGTGTGGTCATTCAGTGCAGAGCCAGAGAAATTTTTCAGGTTGAGCAAACTTCCAATTTAATCAGGGGATAAGAGAACTCAGAAGATGAGAAGAACTCAGAACTGTCTTGCTTCAGTCCCACAAACACTTCACCCTTTAGTTACGATACCTCTAATACCAAGGGAGACACTCTCAGTGTTTCAGATTTGTGCTTTCTTTGGTGTTTGCTTTCAGAGATCAGGTACCATCCAAAGTCATTATCGTCTAATGTACATCTTTACAAATGAAACTCAAGACATCCCCACCCCTCCAGGACATCATCATCCTTTGGTATGATTTAGTTCTACTATGAAACATTAATGATATAATTAAAGTTAAATACCTATGTCAGAATGAAAAGAAGCCTTTCTTGTGAACTGAGTATAAGGAGTTGAGTTCTTGAGGAGTGGGAAGGCTCTGGTAAAGAAGGAGGGAAGTGGAAATGGATTTCCCAGAAGTACAAGCAGTGGAACAAAAGGGCTCCCCTAAATGCTTTTATAGCTCAATACTGCTCTAAGTTTATTTTGTAGATTCAGTTGGATGGAGCTTGTTTCACTTGAGGGTAAACTGCAAGCTTTAGATAACCTGGTAAGTGGTTCCTTTTTAGGGTACTTTTGCTTCCAGCTCTGGTGGTTCCCTTCCAAGTTGCTTCTTTTGGTTCTAATCAATCCAATTAAATTGCTCACTTTTTTTTGGTAAAGATAGCTGTAACTTAATCTTTTGACTCGGATTTATATTGTTTGAAGTGGAGCAGTTAAGGTTTAAATTTAAAACAAGTGTATTTAGTTGAGTGAATTAACTACTGTTTAGTTTTTTTTTTCCCGAGTCTTCCCTCAAAGCATGGGGGAAATGAAATCAGTAATCTTCCCAAAAGCACAGATCCAACCTACACAGGCACCTGTACATACAAGCTCGTGTACCTGCCTATCTATCAGGAGTAGCAAATCTGTTGCTGTGTAAGCAGAGTAAGAAGGTGAAACTGCATCAGCCACCATAAGAATAAGAACCATTGCACTTCAGACTCTATTTTCAGACTGGTACATAAGGGATCGTGTTCTGATCAAATGAAAGCATTCAGCTACACCTCTGCTTCAGAGAATGTGCTTCAGACAGTGCTTAGACTATGAATTGCACAGGATCAATCCAGCACATACAAGACTGCATAAAATGTTAAAACTGATCTGTGTTTAGGTATGGTTAGTTTGGATTAGAGGGGCTGAATCTCCAAAATGCTGGATCAGATCAATTCTAAATTTCCAATACTTCAAACCACAGTTTAGGGGATTTT